TAGTTCTGTTTTTTGTTTTTGTTTTTTTCCAGAGAACCACCAGACTGTTTTTTTAATGAATCTACCAATTTCCAACTCACCAGTAGTGTACAGGGTTTACTTTTCTACATACCCTTGACAACACTTGTTATCTTTCTCTCTCTCTTTTTTTTTTTTGATATTAGCCATCCTAACAGGTATGAAGTGGTATCAGATGAGATACCATGTCTTCCTTGGAAAAATATCTATTCAATCTTTTCCCTATTTTTCAGTTGCATTTTCTTGTTTTTTGCCTTTAAATTGTATGAGTTTCTTATATATTTTGAATATTAACTTCTTATCAGATCTATGGTTTGCAAATATTTTCTTTCATCCTGTAGGTTTTCTTATTGTTTTCTTTGCTGTGCAGAGCTTTTTAGCTTGGTGCAGTCCAACTGTATTTGCTTTTGTTGTCATACTTTTGGTGTCATATCCAAAAAAACTCATTGCCAATACCAATATGAAGAAAATGTTTTACATATTTCCTTTTAAAATTTTTAAGGATTCTTGTCTTCTGTTTAAGCCTTTGTTTTATTTTGAGTTAATTTTTGTGTGTGGTGTAAGAAAAATGGTGTAATTTCATTATTTTGCTTGAGGGTATTCAATTTTTCCAGCACCAAGTAGTGAAGAGACTATACTTTCTGCATTGTGTATTCTTGGTGCCCTTGTCAAGGATTACTTGACCTTATATGCATAGGTTTATTTCTGGGTCTCTATTCTGTTCCAGGGGTCTTTGAATATACCATCCTGTTTTTATTACTAGAGTTTTGAAATATAGTTTGAAACCAGAAAGCATACCACAGCTTTGTTCTATTCTTCAAGAATGCTTTGGATACTCATAGTCTCTTGCAGTTCCATATAAATTTTGGATTTATTTTCTATCACTGTAAAATATAATCTTGGAATTTTGATAAGAATCCAGTTTAATTGATGTTACTTTTGATAATATGGAACTTTAGCAATATTTATTCTTCTAATCCATAAACATGTCAAATTGTTATATTTATTTTTGTCTTCAATTTCTTTAATCAATACCTTATATTTTTCATTGTAAAGATCTTTCACTTTCTTGGTTAAATTTATTGCTAAGTAATTTGTTATTTTGATGCCATTGTAAATGAGATTGTTCTCTTTTTTTTATTGGATAGCTTCCTGTTAGTGTATGGAAACAAAACTGATATTTGAATGTTAGTTTAATATTTTGCAAAATTACTGAGTACATTTATTAGTTTGAGCAGTTCTTTGATGTACTGTTTGTGGTTGTCTATATATATAATATCATGCCATCTACAAATAGCAAAATTTTTACTTCTTTCTTTTCAATTTAGATGCTATTTATTTATTTATTTATTTGCCTAATTGTTCTTCTTAGGACTTTCAGTACTATGCTAAAATAGAAGTGCTCAAAATGGGTACAATATAATCTTGTATTGGTGTCTATAAATTTAAAGGAGCAAACACCTCTTCCAGTTTTTATAAACTGGTTTCAGCAGGAAGAGATCTTCTCTTTTTGGGTTCCATGACTGATGGGATCCCCTTTGGGTTTGTTGTGGTGAGGGGCTGTATTTGGGTCACAGTGGTGCTACTGGGTCTGCAGTGGGGTCTGCCTTTGGTGGACCTATTACCAGGATCTTGCGTGGTTATGAATTTTGTCTTATTTCTGGGCAGACTGGATTGCCTTCAGAACCTTAATCAGTTGGGCAGTCACTACGGCAGGGTTCTGCATTTGGGTCCACATATGGTGGGCCTGATGCCAAGGGTGTGAGTGTAGCTCCCATGGAGTACCTGGAAGAGTTTCCCCAGGTCACTATGTGGGTGTCTAGGTGTGCAGGACTTGATACGGACTGTGGCTAAGAGGGCTGGAACTGAGTCACAGAGCTGCCTCAGAGACCATAGTAAAGGCGAAGTTCTGCGGGCCTGCCTCCATGGCCATGAATGGGCATCTTCCTTCAAGTCTCTGGATTGGCAGATCTCCTCTGGATGGGCTGGGATGAGTTGGAGACAGTTACAGAGTGACTTCATAATTCTCAATGAGACCAAGTTGGGTGGGCCATATTCTGGTCTATAGGCAAGACTGGGGGTCCTCAAGATTGCCACCTAAATGAGGGCTGTCTTTTCCAAATGATCCCTCTTGGTCTTGTACTTTTGCAGGCTTTCATAACTCCTTTCCTGAATCCCAAAGCTTTCAAAAAGACACTTCTTTTGAGACAGGGTATCATTGTATCCCCCATCCTGTTCTGAAACTCCTGGCTTGAAGCGATCCTCCTGCTTAAGCTTCCCGAAGTATAGCTTGAATTACAGACATGAGCTGTGGTGCCTGTCTCTCTCATATAGGAACCTTTGTTCGTGGATGGTTGCCAAATTATTGTTCCTTTGGGAGGATATGCAAGCAGGGGAACTCCTACAATCTTGCTCATGTCACTCCCCCTATACATGTTCACTTTCTATTTTGTTCTATTTCAAATTTTCTGTAACTTTAGATTTAAATGTTCAGAACAATATGCTATAATTTACATAATATATAAAGGTAGATAATTAATAGACAACTCATAATTGTAATATTCCTTGTAAATTTATATTTACTGTAGTCAAAAAGGAATCATTAGTATTTCCATTTACTTTTCTCAACCTATATCTAAATGGTGATATAATTGATTCCTAAATGTTTATTTTACATCAGTGACTCACCATATTTAACAAAATTTGTATTTTTCCTTTGTTCAGAAATGTAAGGCTTTTCTCTCCTTCTGAAGGCTGGATTACAGCTTTTTCATTTTGTGTAGAAATAATATCAATCAATATATTAATGTAATAAAACATTATCTTTAGTGCCTTTTTAGTGCTTATACATTAAAACATTCTCATTAGAGCCTTTTATTAATGACTGTAGTGCATTTTCTGTGAAATTGTGTTTTCATATACCACATGCCAATACTTATTCTCATAGTCATAGTTGAACATTGTAGTTGTCTAAAAAAGTTATTTTTTAATGTTATATTAATGTTTCATACAGGATTTTATGGGTAAATGTTTCTATAATTATTTTCTTTTTCTTTCTTTCTTTTTTTTTTAGACAGAGTCTCACTCTGTCACCCAGGCTAGAGTGCTGTGGCATCAGCCTAGCTCACAGCAACCTCCAACTCTTGGGCTCAAGCAATCCTCCTGCCTCAGCCTCCCGAGTAGCTGGGACTACAGGCAGGCACCACCACATCCAGCTATTTTTTATTATTTTTAGTGGAGATGGAGTCTCACCCTTGCTCAGGCTGGTCTCGAACTCCTGAGCTCAAGCAATCCTCCTGTCTTGGCCTCCCAGAGTGCTAGGATTACAGGCGTGAGCCACCACGCCCATCCAGTTTTTCTGTTTTTGATAGCGACTGGGTCTCACTCTTGCTCAGGCTGGTCTTGAACTCCTGACCTCAGCAAGCAATCCTCCTGCCTTAGCGTCTCAGATTGCTAAGATTACAGGCATGAGCCACCATGCCTGGCCTATAGGTACATACCTTTTGTTGTCAAAAATTATACAGCCACATTTATGAAGTATAGATTTCCCTTGTCTTGGATATGTACATATATATGGAGATACATATACAATTCAAGCAATTTCAATTAAGGGTAATCATTGGGTTTTTCTGAAACTGAAAAGCCACAAGCATCTCTTTTTTCACTTTCACATCTCCAAAAAGAATGGTTGCAATTTTCCCCTGCATAATGGCCCAAGGGACACTGGAGCCCATAAGAGGGCATTATTTCCCACTGGGACAATAGCCCTCTCCACTAGTTGCCTGCTATTTGATGCGTTGTCTGGAGAAAGGAAGTAGAACTTGTGCCAAGGGATGGATGGGCACTGCACAGAGTGGGTGTTCCCCAGCCACTCATGACAGAAGGTGGACACTGTTTGCCAGAGAGGAGGTGGGGGAGGCTGCCAGGGTGTACTGACTGCAGTCCTCCTGTGCTGCCTGTCCCCTGGTCCCTCACCTCTCTGGGGCCCAACCTGCTTTGGTTCGTAGAGGACAGAGAGTGTGGACTGTTGCTGTTCCTCTTGGTATTGGGTGAACCTGGTTGGTATCTTTCAAATCATGACTGCCCCTGCATTGTCTGCTACTAAGATCAGGGCTGCCAATGGGGATGGTCATTCTGGGCTGCATCAGGCCGTGTGGTTTGGTTGGAATGAGGTGAGGCAGTGGGTGGCAGTGGAGACACAGATGAGGATGTAAGAGTCAGGGGATCTTGAGCCCTTCTGTGGCTATGGACATCCATAGCTAGGCTTTTCCATTGATTTTAGGGGCCCAAGTTCACCTTCTGGTTCTGGAGAAGGCTTTTTTTTTTTCCTTGCTGCTCTTGCAACCACTTTAGACCCATCGGACTGGAAACCCAACCACTTGCCTGCAATCAGGGCCGGGTCCCCCTTAAACGTACTGTCATGGCCTCGGAGTGGCCGGGCTGGTGCAGCACCAGCAGCATGTGGTGCAGGGTCTTGGGCCTGCTGTCCCCTTCCTGCATTCCGAAGGCCATGGCCTTCGCTCTCCTGCCCAACTCTGAGGCCCCAGCCGTGGGGGACGGGCTGTTGCCGGCCTCCGTGTGTAGGCAGCTTTGGCTGCTTCTCCTTTGCCCCAGCCTCCTGCTGCTCGCGCTCTACGGCCGCACTGCTCCACATGGTGCCACCGCTCTTGGGCGCCAGGTCAGTGGGCTGCGCGGAGCCCAGGCCCGGGCCGCTGCTCGGGAGGTGGCGCGGTCACTGAGATCCAGCGCCCGGGGCAGCAGTGTGACCGAGCCTATCGTGAGAGGTGTCAGGGAGGGTGGCCCAGCGTGGCCTCGTGTCGGGCTCTGGTGGTTCAGCTCCGGAGGTTCCTACGGCTCGGAAAAGCCGTGGGGAACCAGGAGGCTGTTCGCTGGGCCAGGCCTCCTGTTTGGTGGCTGTCGCCCATGGTGGAGACCGGGCCGCGGGCCGCGCTCCAAAGCCTGTGAAGCACCTCGGGGTCGCCATGGCCGAGCTGCTACCGCTGCTGCGGGTGGGGTGTCCCCTGCGAGAAGCAGCCCAGCGCCCACAGGGGCTGCCACAGCGGCTACAGGACAAACAGGCATGGGCAGCGCCCTGGGGGTTAATGTAGCCACAGCTCAGGGGATGGGGAGTCCTAGACAAAGGCCCGGGGCCGATCGGGCAGAGCACACAGGGAGTATGACTCTCACCACTGCCATGGTCATATCTGCTATCAAATTTTATTGATTTTATTTAATTTATTACAGCTATGCAAGATAAATAAATTCTGTGATCTAATGTACACAGTGGGGATGATAGGTAATCATACTGCATTGTGTACTTGAAATTTGCTCAAAGGGTAGATGTTAAATTTTCTTAACTCACACAAACAAATGGTTACTATGTAGAGGTGATATATATGTTAATTATAAATGGTAATGATCATTTCACAGTGTAAATCAAGTTGTACACCTTAAATATATACACTTTTTGTATGTCAATGATGTCTTAGTGAAGCTGTTACACAAACACAATATCACTAGAGGATAGTCAATATTTGATCCAAATTAACAGTTACCTGAAAACTCTCCATTCCCAGAGTATTGTGGATGTTTGAGTTGACTCAAAGCTCAGATAATATGTGCAGAAAAATTAGTACATGAAAGTTCATAGAAGCGTAATTCCCAATAGACAAAAAGAAGAAACTACCCAATGTCCATAAACAGATTTTTAAAATATATATCCGTGGAATGGCATATTATTCCACATGGAAAAAGAATGAAGTATTCCTACGTGCAGAAATATAGATAAATCTTGAAAAAATTATGCTAAGTGAAAGAAGTCACTCACACAAGAGCTCATATTATTGGCATGGAATATCCAGAATAAGCAAATCTGTAGAGACAGAAGGTAGATCAGTGGTTGCCTAATACTGGGGAGGGGAAGAGATGTGGAGTGGCCTGCCACTGGATGTGAGGTTTATTTTTTAGGTGGTAAAAATATTCTGAAACTAAATGGTGGGGATGTATTTCACAGCTCTGTAAATGCACTAGAAAATGATTAGCACACTTAAAAAGGTAAAGTTTTATAATATGTGAATTATATCTCAAAAAGCTGCTAGAAAACAATAAAAAGTAACTACACATAGTGAAAACAAAAGTAACTTTTACTGCTCTATTACTAGATTAGGATATTGGGCCTTCAGTTTGCAGCCCCCAGAGCAGAGTCTGGATATGTGATTGTTTTGGTCCATGAGACCAAAGGGGCTGACAGTTGGGAAACATGAATTGATTAGCACAGTGATGTTCACCAGCCACTGCCTGAGATCAGTGGAAAGCCCCATGTAAATTCTGAGGAGGAGAGGGTGAGAAAAGCGATAAAGGTACTCCACAGGATAGAGATTCTTTGTGTGGCTCTGGCCTCAGGAGAGTATCTGGGGAACAGATTGGTCCTATAAATGTGCTGAGCCCTCTGCTTGTGTCTGTATAGGATGAAAACCACAGAACCACTGGCCCAGATCCTAAGTTGAAAACTCAAAATACTAGGAAAGACTAAAAAATCTATAAGAAATGAGAATGTTGGCCGGGCGCGGTGGCTCATGCCTGTAATCCTAGCACTCTGGGAGGCCGAGGCGGGTGGATCGCTCAAGATCAGGAGTTCGAGACCAGCCTGAGCAAGAGCGAGACCCTGTCTCTACTAAAAATAGAAAGAAATGATCTGGACAACTAAAAATATATATATAGAAAAAATTAGCCGGGCATGGTGGCTCATGCCTGTAGTCCCAGCTACTCAGGAGGCTGAGGCAGTAGGATCGCTTGAGCCCAGGAATTTGAGGTTGCTGTGAGCTAGGCTGAAGCAGCGGCACTCTAGCCAGGGCAACAGAGTGAGACTCTGTCTCAAAAAAAAAAAAAAAAAAAAAAAGAAATGAGAATGTCACTTTCTTATGAAGTGCACAAGAACAGTATCCAGATCCTTTTGCTTTGTGATGTCATTACTTCTCCACTTTTCAACAATGTATATAGGAAAATATATGTTTAAAATCATTTGCAAGATTCAGCACAAGAAGTTGAGTTGGCCAACGTACTTGTGAGCTTTCACTTTAAGTTCTGCCCACCTGGAGTTCCACACACAGATTGTGATGGCCTGGTGGGGTGCAGTGGATCGCACCTGTAATCCTAGCACTCTGGGATTCCGAGGCGGGAGGATTGCTTGAGCTCAGGAGTTTGAGACCAGCCTGAGCAAGATTGAGACCCCATCTCTACTAAAAATAGAAAAAAATTAGCCAGGCGTGGTGGTGTGCTCCTGTAGTACCCCGCTACTCAGGAGGCTGAGGCAGGAGGATCGCTTGAGCCCAGGAGTTTGAGGTTACTGTGAGCTAGGCTGACGCCACAGCACTCTAGATTGTGATGGCCTGGAAAATACCAAAAAGGCAGGAGGTGCCATAGGACACATCTCTGGGTACTGTGTGAAGACATAAATTTACATCCAAAATTACTGAAGAAATGTTTCATCTGTAATGCTGCCATTATCTGGGGGCTCTTTTAGAGAGAATGATCAAAGTGTTGGCTAATCTCAGGTGCTTGATGATCATATCTGTGGATCTTAACCTGTATCTAGTGAGGTAAACATAGATATAGCGATAAATAAGAAAAAAATTCCCAGGGATTTCAAGTATAGCCTGCTGTAAAGGAGATATTCCCTATTGCCAAATCCCTGGAGGCCACTCTGCCTTTTTCCTAGACTAGTATTTATATTCAGAGCCAGAGAATCCTACAGAGAAACAAGCGAGTGGTGGTACTTCAAGGCTACTAAAGTTCAATATTCTCAACATAGAATTTGTTCATACTGAGAAACATTTATTATTTGTTTTATGAAGTGATTGTGTTTGCATATTTATTATCCTTTATACAACCCTTAGAGTAAGAGTCATTATAGCTTTACATGCAATTGCTGACTGACTATTAAACTCTGTAAAACTATTGATGTTATTCTTATGACTAATGAGGAACCTTAGGCAATGACAAGGCAAAATAGTCATTTCACTCCTACCCGAGTAAGTTGTATGAATCAGGATTTAAACCCAGATGTTTTGGCTGTCAAGAAATAATTCTTACTGAGACTACAACACTTACAAGGTTACATATGTTCCTTTGATCCAGAAATAAGATTATAATGGTGCAAATCACCAACATTGTTGTAGAATACTGCTGTGAGCTAAACTATGGGATTAGACATGTAAATAAGAGATAAAACACTACAGTGTTCAGACTAAATTATTATTGATTGGGATCATATTATAATTTTTAATAACAAGTGGAATAATAATGATAATGTAATCATTATTACATTATACTCCAATATAAGATAAATACATAAAGGTACATCCAAAAGACATGGGAATGAGTGCATTGAATAATTATTGGAGAGATTCACAGTGAGACTAGAAGAGACACTGAAACATTTTCAAAGCAGAAACTGCTAAAGGCCTTGGTCAAGACCTTTCTTTTTCTCTGCTATCTGAAACCCAAATCATGATGTAACTTTTCCTTAAGTGTGCCTTTTAGTACTTCAACAGGAAAAATAATCTCAGCATAATCAATAGACAATGGAGGTTTTTGTTTGTTTTGTTTTTTGTTTTTTTTTTGGTAAAAACAGGTACTGTCACTATTAAGTACATAATTCATCCAGCATTAGAGAAAAGATACATTCTAGTCACTGCCACTCTCACACGTGGTTTCTGTACAGCAGGTGATTATTCTAGTTCCATTTAATTATTATCACTTGCCTGGAGATTTTATACTAACATTTTTTTTTTTTTTTTTGAGACAGAGTCTCACTCTTTTTGCCTGGGCTAGAGTGGGTGCCATGGTGTCATCCTAGCTCACAGCAACCTCACACTCCTGGGCTCGAGCGATCCTTCTGCCTCAGCCTCCCAAGTAGCTGGGACTACCGGCATGCGCCACCATGCCCGGCTAATTTTTTCTATATATTTTAGTTGTCTGATTAATTTCTTTCTATTTTTAGTAGAGACGGGGTCTTGCTCTTGCTCAGGCTGGTCTCGAACTCCTGACCTTGAGTGATCCACCCGCCTCGGCCTCCCAGAGTGGTAGGATTACAGGCGTGAGCCACCGCGCCGGGCCAACAACTCATTTAATTCCTCAACAACCCTGTGGCTTTGCTAGTGGTATATCCATTGTTAGGGACAGGGAAAATATTGCAGAGAAGTGCTAGTGTCCCCAAACTCCTCTGGCTGACAGCATGTCAGTGTTGGAGCTCAAATTCACACCTAATTTTCACAACTCCAGGCTTGCCACTACAGTGCCCTGAGGACAGGTGTGAAGATGTCCTGTCCTAATTTCCTGATTAATTCTATACTTCATTCCTTTCAAATGACAAGATTTCTCACAATAAGATACATCTTCTTAATAGATTTCAACTTTGTCGTCTATTTCTATTATTTGTCTACTTGCTTTTTGTTTTCCACTGTTTCTTTTCCAGTATCTCTGGTCATTTTGTTATGGGTCTTGTCAGAATTTGTTTTTTTTTTTTCTTTTCTTTTAATCTAATCTTATCAGAACATTTTCTTTTTAATATTGGGATCCAGACTATAGATTCATCACTACACATGTGTTATTTTTAACATATTAAAATGTGCACTAGAGAATTTCATAAGTTCTCTACAAAATTTCATTGCAGAAATTTTGGAAAACATTGCAAATCACCAATGATTCCTCTAGCCAGATAGAATCATTCTTAATGTTTTTTGTTTCACACAAAATTGATATACTGAATATAGTTTTATGTCCTTTTTTTCACTTAACATTGCCTGGTGAGCAATTTCTCCTGCCATTGAAAACATGGATATTGATGACTGAACAGAGGTATGCATTATAGTTTTTCAATAATCTCCAGGTTGTTTCCAATTTTTGCTTTTATAAATAAAGCTGAAATAAACAACCGCGAAGTTAAAACCTTTGACTTTATCTCTTACTGATTCCCATTGATGGGTTTCTGGAAGCAGAATTAGACAAAGTGTGAATAACCTCAAGGCCCTTGTGGCATATTACCTCATCGCTTTTTATAAAAAATGTCCTAGTTTAT